GGCCAGGAATGCCTCAAACTTGCAACACGGCTTCCATCCCCTGATCTGACACCGGGTGTTAGGGAAAGGTTTTTCACCCGGGGGGTGGTCAGGCACTGGAACAGGCTCCCCAGGACAGTGGTCACAGCACCAAGCCTGACAGAGATCGATAAGCGTTTGGACAACGCTCTCAGGCCCGTGGGGTGACCCTTGGGGTGTCCTGTGCGGGGCCGGGAGCTGGACGCCATGATCCCGACGGGTCCCTTCCAGCTCAGGATATTCAGTGTTTCTACGATTCAAAACAGATGGAGGTGTGAAGGTCCCCGGCCCAAGCGCGGCCCCTTCCCGCCTGTCCCCGTCCACTACAGCCCGGTCCAGAGGGGACGCTCCCGGTGCTGAGGGGACAGCTCGGGCACGCGCCCCCCTCGCGGCGTTCGGGTGCCGGCCGCGTGCCCGCGCGCGAGCTCCCGCCAGACTATCGCTGCTGGCCCTTTAAGGGGCGGGGCCTCTCCGCGCACCGGGGCGCCGATTGGCTGGGCGCGGCCCCCTCCCGCCCCGTGCCCCCGGCGGGGCCGGCGCGGTGGTGGCGGGAGCGCGCGCGATGGTGGCAGGCGGCGCCGCGCGGCTGCTCCCGCTGCTCGCGCGCGCCGCCGCGGCCAGGATCCGACCGACGCTGCCCGGGCGGGCGGGCGCGGGGCGCTCCGGGCCGCTCGCCGGGCGCTGGGGCGCCCTGGCCTTGGCCGTGCCCGCGGCCGTGCCCGCCGGGACCGGCTGGAAGGAGAGGCCGGGACGGCGCGGCCCGGCGTGGGCGGCGGTGCGCGGCGCGGAGCGGCCGCCCCGGGGGCTGCTGCGGCGCTTGGCGCTGGTGCTGCGGCTGGGTGTCCGCGCCTGCGGGCTCCTGCTGCGCTTCGGGCCGCTGCTGCTGCTCTACCCGCTGAGCCGGCTGTGGCCCGGCGTGGGAGCGCGGTGGCTGCGGCTGCTGCGCAGGGCGGCCGAGGCCGCCGGCCCCACGTGTGTCAAGCTTGGCCAGTGGGCCAGCACCCGCAGGGACCTCTTCTCGGAGGCCTTCTGTGATGAGTTTTCCAAGCTGCACGTCGAGGTGAGCCCGCACCCGTGGGGCCACACCGACGAGCTCTTGAGGAAGGCCTTCGGTGAGGAGTGGATGGGCGTCCTCAAGTTCCCGAGCCGGGAGCCGGTCGGCTCGGGCTGCGTTGCCCAGGTGTATAAAGCCTATGCCGACCTCGCTGCCATTGCCGGCTCCAGGGCCAAGGAGCTGGAGCCACGCTCGGAGTTCAGGTCCGCCTTTGAAGCGTGGGAAGTGTCAGGCTTTAGAGGCCTCCTCGGGTGGCTGAGAAGGAGGAAGAGCAAGGAGATACGGGATGAGAGGAGCAGGGAGGAACTGAGTTCTGCAGACTGCTCCCAGGGAAGTCCCGTGAGTAGGATGTCCCTTATGGAGCAGGGGGCCAAGCCGCTGCTGAACGCAAATCCGTCATCAGCCAGACACCTCGTGCCTGTAGCCATTAAAGTAAGTCATGTGCCTGAATGGTAGATGTGTGGAAATGGAGCGTGCTGGATGAGGTCCGTCACATTCTAACTCCCGTGGAGAGGAGTAGCTGGCTAGGTCCAGGTCGAGCAAGACGGGATGCTGTCTCTCTTGGTGTTCTTTTGTTCCAGCGAGTCACAATCCACACTTGCGGTGGCCCCAGCTCTTCCCAGACAGAGAGCTCAAGATTCGATGTGGCACGTGGGTACTAAGAATGCCTCCAAGGGCCCAATTTACACTAAAAGAATCAGTATTAAGGTTGATTGCACACTCCAGACAGCAAACCTCCTTCTCTGCTCACATGAAGAAATCTGGAACACATAAGTGTGTTCCAGCAAAGTTTATTTAAAGAAACCTTATATTTGAGCAGCTTCAAATACTGATCAGGGACAGGGTGAGACTGAAAGTGGTGAAGAATGTCTTTGGGCGAGACTGTAGTCTCCAGCACAGATACACTGAATTTGACAATGATATAATATTTCTCTGTAACCTAATCAATGGCAAAATGTTGGTTCTGAGGACTAGTCAAGGAAAGTGGTTGCCTCCCATTCTAATAAAGCTGGGTTCTGTATATTTGAGATGTATCACTTGAGCTGGTGGAAGTTGAGAGTCTGGGGTATTGATGTTGCCATTGCTCATTCCTGTGCAGGTATTGCACCCTGGGCTGGTCCACCAAGTCCAGATGGATCTGTTTCTCATGAAGATGGGCAGCCGCATCATTGGACTTCTCCCTGGGTTCAAGTGGCTCAGTCTGACAGAGGTTGTGGAGGAGTTTGAGAAGCTTATGATGCAGCAGGTATGCATCAGGCCATGGTCCCCAGCTACTGAAACAAAACTGCCCTTTGTCTTGCTGCTGGCTGGCTCTAGCTCTGTTCACACCACTGCATTTTAAATGGTCAAATGAAGGCTGGCTTGTTCTTTATTTCTGTTCTTTAGTCTAATCAAATCACATAACGTTACTGTAGGAGAGCTTATATGCTCACAAAGTAGCAAAGCAATGAAAAAACATCTTTATTAGATCTAAAATTATTTTTTAAACTTTGAAAATGATGTTTAGACTTTGAATGTGTTTTCTAGTGGACAGCCTGAACAGCTAGCTAGTCATAGTCACAGTCCTTTTTGCAGCATTGTGAAAAGTGAACACTGGTGAGACTCCTTAGGAAAGAATTTCTCCAAGCAAGTGCTCAGGCATGTGGATTTTTTTCTATAGTTTTACATATATGTTTGCAGTCTGTACTCACTAATCATGTTTTTTAGCACTGAGATAGATAGATATAAGCATAAATAATGTTTTCACAGAAGTTAATAACACATTGTACTTTGTATTATCATCAGACTCACAGTGTCAGTAAAATTTTGCAAACAGATTTGAAAGCATCCTGATTTACTAATGTCTTCTAAAGACACAGTCCTGAAATATTGCTACTATCAAACTGACAAAGGTCTCACTGCAGGCTTAATTAGGCTTATGTTTCTATAAAATGAGCCATTATCTGCTAATTTCATTTTTGTATCTAGATTGCAGTGTCTGAAGTCTGTAACAAGATTTTGAAAACCTTAATTATTTTCTACAATTGCAAAACCTCTACACAGGAAATCCATGCTGGGAACTGTTGACTGTGGTCAGATGTGACTCGAGGTCATTTGTACCAGTTTGGCAGAGCTTGGGTGGATGTGCAGAAGATTGAGGGTTAGGAGAACACCTGATAGGCTCATTGTAGCTTTTTCCCTTTGAATTAACAAGAAGTATCCCCCACTGCCAGACAAGGGAGGTGAGACAAGGTTATCCTGCCTCCTTGAGCAGTAGCAGACAGTAGGAGAGATGCCCTCATGTCAAGACACTGGCTCACTGAAGAACCAGGGCCTGGACTTGGCATAATGGATTATTTTGTATGCGTTACATTAAATTTCTTCCTGATGTGGCTGCCTATCCATCAAGTGAGGCCGGGGCTGCAGTTCTTCTATCTTGTCTGCCTGCCTTGCATTTGGACAGCAAGCTTTGGTTCAGGATAGATTCAGTTTAGGATCTTGTTGTATTTTTGAATTTGGCACGGTCCTGATCTATTTTGAGACACCGTGCCTCTAGTAAGGCACCCGTATTTCAAAGGTGTTTGGCCATGGACCATCCATTACTCAGTCTGCTCCTCTTCCATCAGGGCAGCTATGAGTGTGCAAGAAGCACCACTCTTATTTTGTTTCCATTCTGGCTTTCTGACTAGTTGTGTTGGTATTGAGTATTGCAACTCACACAGGATCCTGAAGATCTAATCCTAGTTGAATCTAATTTCCAGCCTGCTTTTCTGTTTCTCCCTTGAGATTGACTTACGCTACGAAGCCAGAAATCTGGAGCGCTTCCGACAAAATTTCCTAGATGTCGATTTTGTGAAGTTTCCAACCCCGCTTTGGCCCTTGGTAACGGCAGATGTTCTAGTGGAAACATTTGAGGTAAGAATTGTAGGGTCTGGGTGCGATGGTAGCAGTGAGAAGGCCCCAAGGAGAACATGTCAAGGAGATGTTTCTTTTTGAGAG